ATTCGTTGTTAAGGAAGAACGTACACAGCAAGCGCATATGTTTCTCGTGACCTGAACGTTGGAAGGGCGACGCACATAAATATTACCTAGGAAGTGCGTCGTACATTAATTCCCTAGCCTGAAGGAGAAATGAGATCCTCAGGACACGACGCAGAACCGAAATCAAACGTAATAAAAGCAAACGAGGAAACTTTTGAGCAGGCTTCTTTAATCCAAGATTACATTTAAAACGACTTTGGAGCGACAATATTGAAGATGGATTAGAGCGACATTATAAAAAACTTAGAAGCATCGATCAACACAAGTGACGAATTAATACATATAAAAAGAACTACCATGAAGAAGAAGAAGCATTTGAAATTAACAAAATGTTAAGAACTGCAACAAAGACAAAACAAAATCACTCAATGGCCCGTAAATGCATACAAATTATCGCGTTACTGTATTCACCATTTTAAGGACCAACAATATGTTTCTCATGTAGCAAGCATTTCGACGATGAAAATACAATCTCATATCTAGGCTCTTCACAGTTGTAACGCTAAATAACTCCATGATCGATCCACGACGGTTACTAGCTATATGCATTCACTGTGGTTCCAGAAGTCGATGGAAGATCGAAAGTTCAGGAATAGTGTGAAAGCCTTCGGAAATATCGATTCCTTCCCATGTCGTCCTCCTCCCGGCGGAAAAAGACAATCGAAAGCACTGCAGGGAACTGTTTGGCAAGGGGAACTATGGATGGGGTGGATGTTACCAGAGACTTGCCGCAAATAACGCGAGTGTCTCAGGACCTATTCACGGATCTCACCTGCTGTGCACTGTCAATAAATGGCAGTCACTGGACAGAAAAATGGATGGTTATAACAGAACATGTGGCATATGTAGCAACACGCGGATATATCATAAGGGGTTATATTGATCGCGGCATCAATGGTGCGAAGACGATGGGAGAGTTAACTAACCTAAACGCCTGCTTAACGATCTTTATTAATAAATATAAGTGGAGGTCTCTCATTAATTATACTTTATTGTATTACCGTATATATACATACACTGATTACACTTGAACTGGATGTCTAACTCTAAAACACAATAAGTGCAATATTTCTTTTCACAAAGATTCATCTCACTTGAATCAAGTCTAATTTGAATCACACACATTGGCGAAACTTGTTACAGTTAAATAGATTATATTCATTCAACATAAATTGCTCCATAACTTAGACGCAATATTTTTTAATATTTCAAAGAATGTGAGCAATCATGAAGCTAAACCAATCAACAGTGCCAATCATCGAGTTACTTGGCATGCACATTGCACAACAATAAAATTGAATTACTGATCCCAAGAAATAAAAACGAACGCGACTATCAAGTCAATATATCGAATGTATGTAAATGGTTTCGTAGGACAAGCAACTCAGAAGAAACATCGACTGACGAGTACACCCATGTTCAAAATTATAGTAAAATCATCGTTGGCCGATCGTCAGTTCGTCGGTGATCCGTCATCCACTTCAATTTATCCTCCGGGGGCGGGAATACGAAAAAATCCATCCGCAGTCCGCACGATTAAACGAAGCGCATCAACGAGTATAGACCTTTAATTGAGAGAGGGTCTCTGATGAAAGTATTTACCAGCGAGCCAATGATGCTTCACGTCGAGGATTACGAATTGCGACAAGGCAGTGATTGGACGAATAGGTCCGTAATTATGCAGTTCAAGCCCCAGGAATAAACAACCTCTAATTGCTCAAGTTAAAACTGCGTCAGAGAAAGGGAAAGCATTCGCGATGACTGGAGTGAAGTTTCATCATGCATTGTGAAATAAAATGTAGACGACACGGATCGACAGACTGACGGATCGACACGGATCGTAGTGCCTAGAACAATTAAATTAACAATTGAAACAATTGAGAGGTCATGCGAAATTAGACTCTCAAACCAGTCGCATTCAAGTGATATAATAAAATAATTCTCATCATAGATCACTTCCAGTTTTTAAAACCAATCAATTTCCTTATTTCTATTTATAATCTTTGTATTTCTATTATTTTTTTGAGATGGCAATCACAATGGCAATCAAAATCTTGTTACTCTCTAATGCCAAGGGATGAGAGACAAGACGTTCGTCTCAATGAATCCAGAGACGATTGAATAGTGCGAACAATCCTCTGGGTATGGAGACGATATTTGAGCGAATGACTTATTGACCTCGAGAAACTTGGTGATTAAAAGTCTTCGAAAGCTTTCTTTCTTCTGACAGCATCCAGCCCATCATTTTGTGATACACTTAACTACAATAATTAATCTTTTATTTATCAATCTTTCACCGGTCGAACTTTTCGAAACATCAATGTAATTATAAAATTAAATACACATTCTCGTTCATTTCAGTAATATAAGACTCATACTTAACACGTTTTATAAAACTAAATTTTGTTGTCGCAAATTTATTCGTAATAACAACCAAGCACAGAAGAATCTGCAATTTTAGTTTTCATTAACAATTATAACGAAAATTTCAAAAGAAATCTTGGACAGAGTATCCGTCAATCTCAAATCCGGCGTTGGAGACGAAGGATAGAATCTCCTTAACTGATCGAAGTGACGAAGACTTTCTCCCTTAGACCAAGGAGCCGAATTTGTTCTTTGTCTGGAGGCATCCATTGCTCGTAGCGCCGGTCGGACGAATAAGCAATTCTCAGTTCAATCTTCATTTCTGTTATTTCCTACGTCGACGTAAAATTGCGAATATATATTCAATGCGAATAGAACTAACACTAAACTTAATGGTCGAGGCCTTTAATAAATGTAAATTTAATAAAGGCTTCTAGGCCTTTAATAAATGTATAAGAAGAACAGTATACTAGATATTAGACTTGATTAACCAGGCGAACCAGGATACAAATTTCACTGCCTATACCAATGGCAATGGTAGGACATCAAATACGTACTCGAATTTCACTTACTGTTCCAGTCATTGTGTATTACTTTCCTAACTTTACCAATCACGTCACAATATAACGTACTCATTGCTCATGTCAAACAATTTTGAAGATTACCCTCTGTAAAGTCAGACCACATTAATAACGATCAAATCAAAGCTTTAACTGCCTTCAGCATATCATTCAGATCCCATAATAAGAGTCGTTTATACAGCAAAGATATGACGCCCCGCGGCACCCGTCCCCTGTGGGGCTTGTGACCGTGTGACCACACCCAGCCCACCTCATGGATCGATGGTTCAAATGGTAAACAAACTGCGATCCTAATATTGTTCCAGTGCATTGAAATACATATGTAATGAGATTCTGTACAACGAATTATTCTGGGCCTATACTTTCAAAATTCGATAAGTTAACGTAAGTACTTACGCTCTATTTTCTTGTCTACGATTGGTAGATTTTGCTTGAAAGGCCGTCAATGATTGGCTGATGAACTTACGATCTCTTAAGTTTTTTGAAAGTATAGGCCCTGGTCTCGTACTAGGACAGCTTCTATAGCTCTTTAACGACATATTTAAAGCATTTTTCTCATTTACGGAAAAAATGCACTATAGTGTTCGCCATGTCCGTCTGTCTGTCCGTCTGTCCGTCCGTCTGTCCGTGACCTCAAGTTTTCGTCGACGAGAAAATGCGCTCTCTGTCACTCACTGCAGTGAGTAGTGAGTACTGAGTTATATTTTTTGAAAGTATAGGCCCTGGTCTCATACTAGGACAGCTTCTACAGTATATAGCTCTGTAACGACGTATTTAAAGCACGGTCGTATTACAAAAATCAAGTCAAAATGCAAACTAGTGATGTATAGGTTGGAACTGAACGATTTTTCCTGGCATCCAAGGTAACTAATGAAGACTGTATAGTGTACACTACATGTATAGTCCACGAACTCAGCACAGGATTTCTACATGAATCCTGTGCTAACTAGCATGTTCAGAGAAGTATGCATACCTTCAGCAGCATGAGTGCATATACCGTTGTAATTTAATCAGAAATTTCTTAATCAGAAATTTCTTCTTTTCGAAGTTTTCACCTGCCACTCAATTGCACTGATCGGGATATGGCCATGCGAATTTTTTAGGTAAGAAACTCCAACGATGCAAGTTGAACAGTTTTGTTTGGATAATTCTGTTAACCGGAACAAATGGACCCGAAATTGAGCTTGAGGTGTGCGTTATTTGCAAGATATAACATTGACCTAACAGTACAAAATGCAGACGTGTGACTTCCCGTGTTTCTTATAAAGCAAATGATAACTCAAATAATTGATTTGAAAATATAAAATTGAATTATCACCAAGTTCAGAGGTTAATGTTGTTTTTAAGCTGAGACCTTATCGCTACAACGCATTTTCTAACCGAAGCCGAAATTTGCAGTTCTTGGAAATAAAAAGCCAACAGTCATTTTTAGCTCACGGCAAGAAGCGAGCCTGAAATTGGCATTCAGGAGCACATGCATGCCAAGCAGGATTGTCAAAAGGCTGCAAGAACAGTTTGCAAGCCTTCTAACTTTACATAAATTTACCAAGACTAAGCAAAACTATAGTGCCACTTCGCAACAGATTCGTTAATGTAGAATTTATTTGGGACTTTAAATATCGATTTGTACATTTACGAATTTATATTTGTAATTGAAAATCAGCTTCGGATAATTTCAAGATATTAATCACACAAATAGATAATGAATAGGCTGAGCGCTGGACGTCAAAAGGTATCTTCCTTTGAAGGGTAATAAAGAATTTCTTTATTAATGGCAAATATATTTTCGGCGAGTCCCAGCAATGATTTACGGCTAATTATTCCGGCATCTATTCAAAATTCACAGTCATGAAATCGAACAAGAATGGAAATGACAGCTTATCAATAGACCAAGCGGAAACGATACAATCAGAACTAAAATAAACGACGACTGGCTTAACACTATTACGCTGGGCAGGCGACATCTCCACTGTATTTTTCACAATAAAACGGACCAGACACTGCCAGTAAACTTACTTTTATGGGCGGGAGGCGGAGGCGAGTAACCCAATACTTTTTCCGCCAAGAAGCGACGGTAATCAAAGTTGGGAGAAGAAACATTCGAGTTTTTACCCGAGGTTTCAGTTTCATTTGAAAGTAAACGACTTCCAGGAATGGGTGAAGGAGTCTTGGAGTTATCAGCGACTTTCCTTATCTCACATATAGGATAATCCGAGTTATCATTCTTGCTGGAATTTGGGAATCTGTGCATTCGGTCCCGGAGCTGCAAGCTTGAAGATCGCAGTACTTTGCTGACGACTCCTCCTGTACCTTTGATGGCAATCAGCTGATCACCTTCTGATTCGCTGGTCGTCTTCTGATCCGTTTCTGTATCGCGAATACGAGGAATACTAGGATTAGAATATACAAAACCAGGGCTTAATTGACAATCCATTGTAGACGTTGTAGTGATTGGTGCTCGATTGAGTGTTGATTTATCGGCCGAAAATTTGCAGCTTGGCACAGGAGAAAACTCAACAGTTGGCAGTTTCGGAGTAGAGCTATGACTTGTATCACTGAGTTTTCGAAGTTCGGAGCAATCGCGTAGATGCGATTTATTTCGTCTGTCCAATGAATATGTCATCAGGGAACTACCGTCATCTCCATTAGAGAATTTAATTTTCAGCTTTGTCAGTTTCCTCAGCAAAGATGGATGCTTCAAATCACCGTTGTGATGATCGGGAGAAATAATATCCTCGTTTACAGGATTATTTCTATGGCATCCAGGATTTTCATGTAAACTTAAAGCTTCACAAGTTGGATGCCGAGGCTTCTTCTTCTTCCTGACGATAAAGTTCGGTGTTGACGAACACTTTTTCTGGCGAGCTTCAATATCTGTAAAGCTGTCGATCTCCACAGAACCATTCCCGCGTGCGCTAGCCTGATGATCCTCTGCACCAACATCGGAATAAAGCAACAGCTTTCGGCTCTCAGCAAAGCGTGGAACTTCTTGGCAATCGTCAAGACGGACGTCGTTGCACGAAGATCCAGCATTGCTACAAAGACCAGAGTCAGGGTAGCAGTTTGGGTACAAATTTCCTGGATCAAGAGCCACCTTCGTGTGAACGACACCGCCGACCAAGCAGGAAACTTCAGTATTTACTCGTTTTCTTGGGCTCGTGCAGTATACCGGAGTAGAAATTTGAGGAGGGATCTCGCGTCGAGGAATTTGAGTCAAGGATTTTTCGAGCTTTTTGGCGAGCTCTCTAACTGAACTTCGACTCTCGACTTCACGCGAAAAATTAATTAAATCGAGTTCACAATCTTCAGAGTAATTTTCAACAACTTTTATATCTCCGGCATCACGTTGATTTTTTATCCCGCTCGTCGACAATTTACCGGACGAAAGCGCCAAGTTACTCACAGATTTTGATCTCCGGGACTGCCGAGAGAGACTGATATTTTTACCATAGACCGAATGATCCCTCACGGAATTTTCTCCAGGGCATAACAAAGGCTCCCTGAGCGCATTATTCCGGTCAGCTTCCAAGGTCTTGTCCGTAAATTCGAGTCTTGTGGAGAAGGAGCTTCTTCGATGATCCTTCTCGGACTCCTTCACCTCAGGAGGATCGACATTGGTATATTGAGCGAAAGATTTAGTCTTGTCGTCGCTCAGGCTCGTGAGATTTTCAGTTATGGATTTCGAAGTTTTTAGTTGAGTGGAAGTCACCGAAGTTTTGTGTGATCTCAGCGAGAGGCTGCTGGTGGATCGCGTAGGATCGCTGCTGCCTACCACGAGTTCTTTGAGCTTGCGGGTCAGCAGTAGACCGCTGTTACAAATCATCTTTAATAAGTTCTGAAATGCTATTAAGGAAATCGAAGAAATGATCACGGTAACGTGCGTTCCCCATTTAGTGAGGATTAGGGACAAGAAAACCGACTTTCTCTATTGCCGTCTTCCGACTGCATTTCAAAAATTTCAAATTAATGACATATTTTTACGCAAAGGTCAGCTTAAACTTCCAGTGTTAACATGTCAACGATTGCACTAGAAAACCATCGCTGCATTATTTTAAAAACACTTTGAACGTTTTTAATTCATATCCACTAGCACAAGTCCTATATTACACATTTAAGATTATACGTATTTTTATGAATTTGACTTTAATTAGATCAGAACTCGCCGATGCACTTACGATCGCCTAGTTGAATTTAATATAAGCGTTTATGTTAAATTTTAAGGCCTTCAATAGACTCAATTGGCGTCACAATGTTCAGGGGACCAACTACAATTTCCCATCACGTTCACCACAGAGTAATGGTAAATTCCATCGGTTATTTAACCATAGAAAGCATTCAAAAGTCGTTAATTATTAAATAAAATCAAAAGATTCCAGTAAAAATGATAATTTGTGCTAGAATTTAAATGGAAGTATTCCGATGATCCTTGAATAAAAGGAGTTGAAAAGTCACACAACTATCAACACTATATTATTATAAAATGTTTTATAATACTCATAAAATTTTCTTCCTCATACAACATTACAATTTACTCCCGTTGGACGCGTTACGAAAATAATTATTTTAATTAGTTCAAAGAAACTTGTATTTTACCGATAAATAACTCCATTATACGGGATCATTGAAAAGATCACAGACTTAGGAGCGTCGCACACGCACACCCACCAACGCCTAGACGCACACTGAGCCACGGTGGAGGTGTAGACTGTAGAGGGTCGCGAACGATCAGTCGTAATGACCTCAAATGAGGCTACAAACCGAGGGTATGTGCCTGCGCTAAAGTTCTTTAATTACTTTACGTTCCCATTTTTGGTGTCATTGTCCAATTTTGCAGAGAAGTGTTTAAAATTACTAAAATCGTTGAAATTTACTTATAAAAAGTGCATTTTTAAACTGGATTGCATCGCTTTCATTGCAGTGTGATGAAAAATTTGACACATCTACGCAATAACGCTTTTCAAAAGTTCTAAGCAATTGTTCAATAAATTTGACTTGCTTACAATTTACCACAAGCTTGAAATTTTTGCGACCAAAATCCAAGAAGGGTATAACAATTGCAACAAAAATGTACAGTCTAATAATAATATAATACATTTCAATTATACATTGTAAAATAATATCAAACGAACGCGAAATAGCGGTTACAGATTCTATAGACATTTCTACATCGTATTTTCAAAATTAATTATTTGAAAATTGGAAGGCTTTTCCTACACATAAATGAAAATAAATAAAAGAATAGACGATGAAATTTCAAAGAAAACACATATAATCATACAGAAAGACCTAACAGGCATTCATTCAGACATGTTAGACAGCCAAGTGAACCATTCAAGCCAGTCGCGCTCAGCCCTTGTAGAAAAAATGAACAAATGAAAACCCGCATATGCATATGGAAGCTGGAACAGAACAACGACGCTACACTTGTATCTTAAAACAGTAATTTTTTTTAATAATGTGTGATTTAATACAGTTATTTGCTAATACACAAGAACTAATCACATAAGAAAAGAATACTAATGCAGTTAGCGACTGTTGAGCTTACAAGGTAACAATCGTAGGGTCCGAAACTCGTCGTGTTGCAATCGAAACTTCATCAGTTACCCCTATAAATTATTTTTCTACGGTGCAACCAAAGAAAATGTTACAATTTAAGACACACTCTTTTATTATATGTTAAGCTCATGGCGGGGCTCACAGAAAATAATAATAATGGTAACGCTGTATAAAAAATGTATAATTGGAAAAATTAGGGTGAAAAACTGGGAAGACAACTCTGTTCAGTGAGAACTTTATTGAAAAAAAATACTTGAAAATAAACGTACATAAGTTTCTTTTAAAAATAACATTCAAAAGAAGCTCAAATTACTTTATTATAAATTACAATTAGAATAATGGTGACCAGTAATGACTTCTACGCAACATCTCAATTTATAGTAAATCATACTGTACAAGATATTTTCTTTCCTTCCACGCCCATACATAGAAGTTCGATCATTCCTCTGACGCGTCTCGCTTCCCGGCCGGTAGAAACCGTGAACTTTTTCAACGATTTTTCTTCCGGATCCCTTTTACGCTCTTAAAATTTTATAATTATACTAGGAAACGTACGCCAAATTGAAAGAAACAGCAAGCAAATATTTGATAAGAAAAGTTATTGTTTCAACAGTAACATTGCTAGACGTTAAATAATATGTCACTGAGACGGACGGCTGCTGGTATCTCCAGAACGAGATGCTCAAAACTAACTATATGCGATATCGTAAATTCTTCAGCCAGTTGCGGTCTTTGCTTCCATGCTTTCCTGTCAACCACTAGCGTGGTTAGACTGCAACCATAGACGAACTTACGTGCGAACTTACGTGTCATAGGTTACGTGTCGACGAACTTACGTGTCTAACCACAAGCGTGGTTAGACTGCAACCATAGACGAACTTACGCACACCGTAACTATGTTCAATAATGATGTATCCGCTAAATTACTTCTCATTAACATTACGATGGAAGCTGGCATAAAACATTACAATTTATACAACATTTATTCTTAACAGTTATCTCTATACATGGACCTTCACCTTACCTACAGAAGGCGATCTCGAAAATGTATAGACAGAGAATAAAAGCTATGAAATGGCAGAAATTTACAATTAAAAACTCGCCAGGAAGAAGTTAAATAACAAATAAAATGTATAAGATGTACACAAACGAACTATAATATACTTTGCATAGGTGCAGAGCTAATAGGCATTTAAACCGCAGTGACGCACGTTGAGATTTTACGCCTTGTGTTAAATTTATGAAATTCGAGAGCTGTCAGAAATTATGATTATGAAATCATTCTGTTAGAGTTAGACTTTATAATAAATAGACAAGGCTCTACCCTAAATATACAAATAAATAGACAGTGAACAAATTGATCGTAACCTTCTCTCGAAATAATTGATAAACTTCAGCTGCACCGAATAGCTCGAAGACAATAAATGGCGTAAAAATATCAAAATAATAATATTCAACAAATTTCCGCTTTAGTTATTCGCAAGCATCGACAATGTATTAGAACAGCGTAGAAAATAAATTTTTATTGACTTACGACAGGTCACAGCGATAGATTGGAAATATTCAACAAAATTTATAGCATAAATTTGAGACTCGCATTTATCGCTTGTGAATGCAAATGAATATTTTAAGAGCGAACAATTCGAGGCCACTTCAACTTTTCTGGGTCATTACAGGTAAATATTACATCCCCTTATTATTACATATTACAATAATAAACACTATTATTGCATTTACTGTGTCTTGGAGTAGGTCAGCGTCTTGGAGTTTGCCAGCAAATTCAGAGAACGGGATATTTTCAAAGAAGAACTGAGTCGTTAAGTAACCGTTATTACCAGCTCAATAAACGTTATATTGCATAATATTGATCCTAGGCATGGGTTTAGCGCCATGAATTTCTATTTATTATACCAAAATTAATATCAAAATTAACCTTTTCGGGTTAACGAATTGGCTTGTTGGTTTTCATCGGTGTAAAAAACGCGTTCACGTTCAGTTGAGATCGTAATAAAAATTAAGTTGATGTTTGCAAAGTTTGCGAGGTTACCAAGGTTCTAAGGGATGACTGTATCATTATGTTGAGAAGGACATCCTCATATAAATTGTGAAAAAAGAGTATGTAGAATTCATTTTTGTACAGCCGAGTTTACGTCTAGAACATTTAAGACCGATATATAGTGGTATTGTAATAATATACTGCACAGTTAGACGAATTTTGTCTTGTGTGCTCATTTTAATGACATGAGTAAGTTTAACTCAGGGATTCACAGGGTGACATCCAATACTTCCACAGCATTATGCGCGGATATAAGGCTAATAATCATACCATCAGTACCATTTGCAGATCTAATAATTATCATGCCATATTGGTTGCTGAAAGTTACTCCTAACATCGTCAAAAGTAGATCCGCTCATTCATTTGCCTTATGCGCAGGCATAACAATGATGATCAAATCATCATAACCATTTACTGATATGATTATCAGCCTATATTGGGTTCTACTAGTTTATTATCGGCATCGTCAGTAAGTAGGTCCGCTAGAGGCGCGCAGCCACAAAAAAAAATAGATACACCGATTCGCCAGCGCGAAGATTGTGGAGCACTGGAGCAACGCCGGCAACGATGTGTCGACCTTTACAAGACTGACCGCTGAACGCCGCTAGGAAAAACTGAACTACCTTCAGTGAAGTGAAACTAAAGGCTCGATCCTGACACAAAACACGGCAAAGACCAAAGGCTTGATCGCTGACACAAAACATAGAATGGACGAATGAAACTAAAGGCTCGATCGCTGACACAAAACACGACATAGACCAAAGACTTGATCAGTGACACAAAACACGGCATAGACCAAAGGCTCGATCGCTGACACAAAACACGGCATGGACGAACTGAAACTAAAGGCTTGATCACTGACACAAAACACGGCATGGACGAACTGAAACTAAAGGCTTGATCACTGACACAAATCACGGCATGGACGAATGAAACCAAAGGCTCGAACACTGACACGGCACGGACGAAGTGAAACCAAAGGCTCGATCGCTGACACAAAACACGGCACGGACGAAGTGAAACCAAAGGCTCGATCGCTGACACAAAACATAGCATAGACGAATGAAACTATAGGCTCGATCACTGACACAAAACACAGAATGGACGAATGAAACTAAAGGCTCGATCCTGACACAAAACACGGCATGGACGAACTGAAACTAAAGGCTTGATCACTGACACAAAACACGGCATGGACGAATGAAACCAAAGGCTGGATCGCTGACACAAAACACGGCATGGACGAATGAAACCAAAGGCTGAATCGCTGACACAAAACACGGCATGGACGAACTGAAACCAAAGGCTCGCTCGCTGACACAAAACACGGCATGGACGAATGAAAGCAAAGGCTCGCTCGCTGACACAAAACACGGCATGGACGAATGAAA